AATGATGCAAGATCCAAGATCCATTAGAGCAATAAAATAAATTAAGTCAAGTCAAATAAAATGTAAATCACTTCACTATTCATGTATTCAATTTCATTAAACTTTAATTTTAATTAGTTCCATAGCTTTTGCAGTTTTTAGTTTTCTGGCATTTTTATAGTTTATATCTAACCATATTTTAATTCCGGTCATTGCCCTCTAATTTCCTAACCTCTACAAATATGGTGGCCAAGGACAGTATACTGCAAAGTAAAGAAACAGTTCCTCAAATCCATTTTATTTCAGTTGAGTGGGATTCTACTGCTAACTGAATAGACTTGTGCTCCCATTTATGCTAGAGCTGAATTTGGAAGTGAGGCAATTCTTTTTCTTTTTCTAAAAAAATCTTAGTGATAATACACTAAACAACTATCTGAATGAAACTCTGAACCTAAAACCCATGAAGGAACATAAATATGCCCTCCCCAAAACAGGGATTATCGCAATGAGGTAGGTCAGAGTAACATCTTTTTTTTACATTATTCAACGGAACTTTGAAAAGAGTATGCTTAGGACCACATGCAAAGTCAGGTTTCCTGAGTATCGTACATACATAATAAAGAGATTGGCATATTACTTTTCAAGAATGTCAGTGAAAAACAGTCGATTTAGAGATCAAGGAAACCACTGAACTATTTTCAAGATAAGTAAGTTTTTATTTATAAAATTTCCCTGGATTTAAATTTCTCCTAAAATTAGCGCAGGTACATGTACTTTTTATATTGCTACATTAGCCAGGTGCAAAAGAATAAACAAAAGTAATGTTGAACAAGTGGCTATGCCAATGATGAAGTAAACCAGAATGCATGGGGAAAATTTCAGATTATTTTGATTGCCTGGAATGAAAGGAAATCTGGTGATTTGACATTCTGAACCTTACTTATTTCTCCTCCCAAGTATGGGGCTCAGAACAGTTGCCTTATCTTTAAAAAGGTCTCAATGACTTACACACAAACTAAGCGTGTGGCTACAGTTAATATCTAAGAATTGTCTTCCAGATCCTCAGGAAATGCTTCATTGTTTGCTGTTGCTAAATTTCAAGGTTTGAGCCAACTTCTGTTGGATAATTGTTTCCTTAAGAGTTGTGGGAGTTTGGAGGCTGTTTGTAGCTTCAGCAGTCACTGATGGCCCTGACAAAGGTGTAAAGAGGAAGTGTGTCTGCAACAACTTCTGCCTGACTGGGGTCTTAAAATAGAAAACCGGAAATGGTTAGAGCTGTTCCTGCAATAAGGCCCACCTACGATGAGAAAGGAAACTTTTAGTTCTAAAAAAAAAATCACTAGTAGAATCATTAGTATAAATATAGGTGAAATGTTTTGAATGGACACATGATCAGATGCTGTTTGCACTGTGATCAGTTCAATTATATTTTTGATAATTAAAATGTTATATGGATTGAAATTTATTAGACCACATTTTGGTTTTGAAAATCAAATGCAGTCATGACTTCCGTAGCATTTTACATGAAGTAATTCCCAGTGAAATAAGAATTTTAACCCTCTAATAAAAGTTTAAAGAAAGTGCTGTATTGCTTCACCTTCACAAGAAAAGCAAGGCTTGTTTGTCAGTAGCTCATAATTCTGGTGCAGTGGGGCAGTTGAACATTGCCATGTTTTTAGACTCCTAGCCTCTATCAAGAACACTCGAAGCCGTCATTTACCCTTCCCGTATTTGGCTTTAATAAATTCCTTCTGAATGGAAAATTAACTTTCAGCACCAACACAGCAACCACTCAATAAATTCCACTCAATAAATGTTTTTGTCCTTTTTGATCCCCTCCATATGGCTCTGCAGGGGGATTGACACCTTCATACCACCAGCCACCAAAAAAAGAGTCCCCATTTTCCTAATTTAGTATGTTGTTTCCACAAAATAGAGGGAATTAATTCATTGGGGAAATGTTACTTTTATCCAAAATAAGACTATTCTAGTCTGGTCTTATCTCTTTTGGATACAGTAGCAGGTCAATTAGCTGAGATTAAATGGGCATCTCCATGACCCAGTTAAGCATGTTGTGCAAAGGGCCAGTAATTCTTCCCCTCAATTGCTATCCAATGGCAGGCATCCTAAGTGGAGGCTGCTTAGTGCAGTTTCCAAACTTGGCATCCCCTAAATGGCCTGAAATACAGGTAGTCCTCCACTTAAACCATTTGTTTAGTGACAGTTCGAAGTTACAATGACACTGAAAAAAGTGACTTTTAACCATTTTTCACAGTCACAACCATTGCAGCTTCCCTGTGGTCACACATGATCAAAATTCAGATACTTGTGTTAATGATAGTTGCAGTGTCCCAAGGTCATGTGATCATCTTTTGCAAACTTCCACAAGCAAAGTCAGTGGGGAATCTTTGTCACTAACTTAACAACTGCAGTAATTCACTAAATAACTGTGGCAAGAAAGGTTGTAAAATGAGACAAAATTCACTTAGCAACTGTGTTGCTTAATAATAGAAATTATGGGCTCAATTGTGGTCATAAATTGAGGACTACCAATTGTTGTCGTAAGTCCCACCACCCAAAGTGCTATAAGCATGCCAGTTAGCAGCTGAATGTAATCTAGGTAAGAGAGGCTCGATCGAGTGAGATGCATGTTGTCAAGTATTTGCTTATAACTTTCTCTCAATCAGAAAATTGAAATCATACAGTTTCTTTAGGAAGAATTAGAATAACTGAATCATTTCCCATCATTTCCAGATACACCCCTAAGTATTTTGGGGTGGAAATATTTTTTTCTAACTGTCTTCTTAGTGTCTGGCAAAATGGTAGGAGTTTCCCCACCTCTAATATCAGTGAAACTTGCAGCTTATTAATTATGTAAAATTGTCCAGGTTTCTTTTCTGATGGGAATTAACTTTTATACATTTCTTTGTGAACAGCTGGAAAATTGCTTGGTACTCAAGATGAATAATGAGTAAATTAGTTGGGAAGGCTAAGAAAAAAAAATCATCAGTGGATAGAAGTACCCGGGCACTTTATCCCACATCTTTGTTTGCAAATTTCTAACTTTTTATAGCCACACAATATTTTGGGTTTTTTTTTAATCCCCAGTTATTTTTTTTTAAAAAAAAAACAGGACAATGAAAGTACCATAAATGTACAATATGGAAGAAGGTAGCGGAATTGCCTATTGAATTGCATACCAGAGCTCTACTGTCAAAAATGAATGAGCCCAGAACAACATCTAAACGCAATTAATTTTAAATTTAATAAATACAGTTACTGAATTTGATTATTATTTTTGTCACATTAAAAATTGTTCTTTGATAGCAATATCCAAAGGGGCTTGGAAGGATTCAGGGAACTAAATGAAACCTTCAGACCGCTACATGCCTATCTTTGTTTTATGCATTCTTTGTATGAGTCTCTGAATCCTAATGTCTCAAAAATATCCTGAAAGTTTACATTAATTTTGTTTCACAGGGCAGACATAGTTACTTCTCTAGAAATCTTTAAGCCCATGTCTTGTCACTTGAATTCTTGTGAGTATGTCTATGTGCATGTTGATATTTAAGAGGAAAGTGTTAGCATATTTTGGAATAACCACTGGTATAAATCCACCCGCATTTCAAAAGATTGTTGTGGTGGCACTTCTTGCTTTGCAGCTGAGGAGAAATGAATGCCATTATCTGTGCTTGGACACATCGGCTTCATTCTCAAGGATGAATGCATGAACTCCACAGTGTAGCCCAGCCTGTATGGTTTGGGGAGGCCAGTTGATGTGAGGCTATGGAATAGCTAACAAGAAAAGCATTTTACAAGGTTGGCTTTACCATTAAGCTCTCAGTCCAAAGGTGCTGGATAATTGCCTCAGAACTGGGCCAAATACACTGGAGTGTGGAAAATATGGCAAGGGGACAAAGCCACTAAATCCATGTGGCTTCTGGCAGGTTTGTGATGCCTTCTTCCAAAGAGCTTCAGGATGAAATTGGTCAGGGAGAGCCTATGACAAGAAAATTTCCATATCAGAAGACTCTGGACACTTTGAAGATATTATCAGATATTGCAGGTATTATAATATCTGGCTTGACTCCTGGTTTCAAACATGTTAAGAGATCTGTAGTTTCAGTGACAACACATTCCACTTGCTAATCCTTTCAAATATCTGCAGGTATTGTCAACACTGGTGAGGCAGGTAAAGCAAGTCTATTTTAGGTATGTTTCTACATGATGGAAATTGACAGGTTTAAACAGCCTATTGCAGAGATCTGGCTGGGTATATAGATCCTGTAATATAAATGATTAGCTTATTGTTGTTTGGCTAGCTGAATTTTCATCATGAGTTTCCTTATGCCCTGTATATCATACCGAGGTAAGTGAGACCTTCTTGATTTATGGCAGTCTCAGAGTGTTGTATTCAGCATCTTGTCATGCTGAATTTTCTCCTGCCAGATCTTCACAATGTCATTTCCTATGCTTACCTTGGAAGCCATTTCAACATCATTTCCTGTGCTTGGAATCTAGGATGGGTCTATACAACTGTATCTACAATTACAGAACAAGTATCCCATAGGTATCTGCCTGTTCAGGATCTTAGATAACCCCTGTTCTGCCTGCCAGCATGCTGAATAGCAATAGTTTGTGCTATTGATGGCCGACCTCACAAGATCTAGAGCACTGTTTCTCAACCTTGGCAGTTTGAAGATGTGGGGACTTCAACTCCCAGAATTCCCCAGCCAGCAACGTGTGGACTTCAACTCCAAGAATTCTTGGAGTTGAAGTCCATACATCTTCAAACTGCCAAGGTTGAGAAACACTGATCTAGAGGATTACAGCGCTGGGGGTGGGCTGTAGCTATAGGAGGGAAAGGGAAATCTTATTTCATGCACTTGTGTGACCGTGGATGTTGTTCTGAATACTGAACTGTTGTGGGAAGCAAATCATTTCTTCCTTCGCTCTTCCATGCAGTAGTACACAATATCTGTCTTACACCATCATCTTATTTTACAGAAACAGTGGAGGACCTGAGGCCATGCTGAGTGAAACTGACTCCTCCGTTCACCTAGCTCTCCAAAAAACGTTGCTACAATTAAGCTTGCAATCAACTCCTTTAAACACTGACCAGATATGGAAAACCCAGGTTTGTGCTTGGTATTAAACCATGAGATTCTAATTAGGAAGTGTGACATGGTTTCAGTTTTCTTTTGCTATCCCTTCCCTGTTGAGGGGGAACAAAAATAAAATATATGAGAGGATCAGGTCTCTGCTGCTTCCTCCCCTGCAGAGGTCCAAGCTAGGTAAAGGTAAAGGTTCCCTCGCACATATGTGCTAGTCATTCCCAACCCTAGGGGATGGTGCTCATCTCTGTTTCGAAGCCAAAGAGCCAGCACTGTCCGAAGACATTTCAGTGATCATGTGGTCGGCATGACTAAATGCCAGAGGTGCACAGAACACTGTTGCCTTCTCACCAAAGTGGTCTCTATTTTTCTATTTGCATTTCTACATGCTTTCAAACTGCTAGGTTGGCAGAAGCTGGGACAAGTAATAGGAGTTCACTCTGTTACATGGCACTAGGGATTCGAACCGCTGAACTGCTGATCTTTCTGATCAACAAGCTCAGTGTCTTAGCCACTGAGCCACTGTGTCCCAAGGTCCAAGCTAGCCAGGCTATTAACTCCATTCCCAACCTCAATTGCCAATTCCATCACAAGAGCTAGCTATGCTCATTAAACACAAGGAACACCCAAAGAAACAGTATTAGGGTGCCTTGAAATTAAGCATTATTTATACTTAAAGACTTCATGAGAAAACTACTATAAGCTTGATTAAGCTCACTTAATATAAAAAAGGAATATTGTTGTAATTTTCTTTCCTCTTTATGGAATGGCTGATAGTAATTGCTGATGGGTTGTTTAAATTAAAAAAAAAACAGGTGGGTTTTTTTTAACCAATTGAATTGTTTACACATGGTATCCTTCAAATTTTGTTTGTTAATACTACCCAGGAAATTAAGCGGGTATGAAAAATACTGCTGAAAATAAACAGATATTTTGATTTTATAAAAAATCCATGTTCTACAATATTGATCTACTAGTCATAACTCTAATGCTGCTTAGCTAAGAGTATATATCTCAAATAGGAACTAATAACTCTAGTTATATATGACTAGGATTTTGCATTTGATGATGGGGTTATGTAAATGTAAACTTACATAAGTTTGTATGAAACTAAAAAATTAGAAATCACTGAACCTCTTTCCTCATGATGATTTCCTTTTTTGCTTTAAGAGGTTGAGTCAGACTTTCTCCGAAGTGTGCATGCCCTTCTTCGGGAACTTGATGGCTACCATCCAGCCTTCCAAAGTGAGAGAGGTAAGATCACTACAGATAATCAGCCTTCCAAGAAATTGGTTGTTATGTGTTTACACCCATTCTGTCAATACAGGAAATCAGGAAGTCCAGGCAGTTCAAATGAATAGAAAGGTCTATAGCAAGATTAAGCTCTCTTCAAGAATCTGAACCATTAACTAATTTATTAATTAATAAAGGAAATTAGTGGTAGATAAGAGCCAATGGAATTCAAAGTGGGCTGGACCTTGCGGGCATGAAGGGACTTGAGACTGAAAACACATTTGACCCCGCCCTCAGGCTCAGCTTGGTCATCTCCTACATGTTCTGCCTACATAATCTGGAGGAAGAAAAGCATGACTGTCCATGCTTGGATGTCATTCACTTGGAATTTGTTTCTAGATACCTTACTTGGTGAGATACTTCTCAAAAGGTGAAGTAGTTGATCTGATCCTAGAGGACAAATCTCTGCCCATTAAATTCTTCCTTATTACCAGTAAAACTACAGAGAAGAAGCAATCGCTCATTGTCAAAGAACATGTTTTGTAAAGATGAAATTTCTAACTGTTATCTCTAGTTGAGAGATTTCAGGCAGCAAGATAGTTTTAAAAGCAATCTCACTACTTTCTGTGAAGCCACTCTTTATCTTTGGATATGAGTTCACAGTGGTGATATATTTGCCGAGATTAGTTGTGTTGTGCGAAGATAATTGCAACAAAACATTAAAGACAGATTATGGTGTGTTCCAACCAGTATCAATATCCATTTCTCTTAGCTTTTTTTAGCCTGTGCTATCTGGCCATTTGTATGATGGGATTAGTGTTGTTCCATAGCATAACAAATGCTGTATTGTTAACCTGAAGTACTGAAGTTAAATCAAGGCAATGTAATGTCCCAAAGATACTTTTCAAAAGGCAACTGGACTTTTGTGGGCTTAAAAAAATCTTTCACTTCTCATCCAAGAAGCTTCTTTAGTTCTTCAGTTCTTAGATGAGAAGTGAAGCATTTTCAAGAAAAATATCAAGAAAGTCCAGTTCCCTTTTGAAAAGCACTGTTGGGACAACCATGACTTGAATGATCCTAGGTGGAAATGAATACCTCAGTTTTAGAACTGGAAAGAATTATTAATATGTTTAATTGTACTTAAAACTAATGATCACATAGATGAGCCCTTACCTGTAAAACATACTGAAAGACACCTATATCCTGAGAGATTTTCCTGTACATATTGCAATCTAGCCTTCCCTCTCCTATGAATTCCATTATTTTTTATACTGTATCCTTGGATTAATAAATGAAACATTAATAGATACTTTGATTTTGATCTCACAGGGATGCTGAGATGGACCTTGCACAAGAAAATGGACCGGAATCCCCAAAATGGAATCCTCTGGATTAAAATTTTGGTGAAAGAACTCGAAAGAGTAAGAAATGAATTACCATGATGTAATAGTAAATGTGTTGGATTAGGACCATGGAGATTTAGGTCAAGGCGACCTTCAGCCATGAAAACTCAGTAGGTGGCTTTGTTACTCAGTCACTCTCTTGTAATCCAACCTGCTTTAGCAGGTAGTTGGGTTTTGTAATAAAATAAATTGAGATGTTAAATCCCTTAATCTCCTGAAGAAAAAGTGGAATGTAAATCTAACAATCAAATAGGCAAGTGACCTTACTTATGTTTGGGGTAATCTTATTAACCCCGACAGACTTGATCATGAATATAAAACTATGTTTTATGGTCAATCTTACTCTTCTGGATTTAGAAAGAATGAAATTGGCTTTCTCTCAGGGACTTGGGCATAGTATCCTGAGGGAGATGTTAGCAATGCTATCTTCTCTTGCAGCTGAAACATAGGGATTTCTTCCCTGGGGTCCATGGTGCTGTCTGAGCTTCGTGGTTTTCTTGTGCAGACATTTCATCAGTGCAACTTATTGTCAGCCAGAGCAGGAGTGAACAACTCTTGGGCTGGGAACACATGCAGCCAGTCCCCTAAAATTGCACTGCTGAAATTCAATTACAAATTGTGAAAGTTCAGCCCACAGAATGTTTTTCGAGCCATTATTCTAAAAAGAATGGGTTAGGGTTAGGCAAAACGATCTAACCTAAATCAGACTAAGCAAATTTATCTTACTTTTCAAAATCCCACAATTAATAATTAAGGACAAAATTTTGGACCTACCTTTTTGTGGGTGCAAAGTTCCTAAAAATATTAAGTAGCCCTTAGCTAAAAAAAATATGGGGGTGGGGAGAGAAAAGGATGTCTGCATTGCTCTAGATTAAAGTCTCACCTATGCTTACCAAATCCCAATGTAAAAGCATGCACTCTTTCAAGGTCAAGAATTCATAGCATCATCTAATTTGCAGGTCAATATTCTTTCAGATTGCTTTATCTCAGTTTATCACACCTACAATGATCTCTGTAGGGTTGACCAGAGACCGATGTTCCTTAATTTGTCTCTTTTGTTTTGCTGCTTTTGCTAGTTTTCTTTCCTAGCCCTTAATTTTAGGAGTAAAGGATCGTCTGGCTAGAGACAGATAATATCAATATTGTTTCCCAGAATTCTGGCAGGCTCATTTGAATAACCATTCATTTCACAGTTCCTAATGAAAGTAAATCTTCAGTGTTTTTGTAAAAATTCAAAATGTAATGTCAGTGGAAAAAATACATTAAGAGCAACTCTGTCTTTGGCATAGTAGTATCATTAAAAAACCCTTTGTTTGCAGTAAATCCTTTCATATGTTTTGTGATTTAAAAAAAACTTTTGTCTAGGACCAGTTTTCTCAAATGCTGTTCAACTAAGCTTATTCTCCTTTGGATGTGGGATATATGCCTAGCTCCTTCAAACTTCCCTTTAAATTACACATTCCTATAGATTTCAACCCTTCACCACCTTTTTTCAGAATGTTTCAGAATAAGGAAGAGACTAATTATTAAACAGCAAAGCTCAAGAGATTTTCTTACAGTGGTTGTTATGTATTCTTTCAGAAGCATTGCTGCTGCAATGCTTTGGCTGGTTGCCTTCCTCTCTTTTGTGATTTTATTTTGGAAAACTTTGCCTCTCTTCTTTAAAAAAGAATTCAATATTTAGAATATATTTAACATAACTCTGCTTTTTCAGGCAGAAAGGTGTAACCATCAGAAGCACATCATTCCCCTGGTTCACACACTGATGTATACGCTGATCAAAGTAAGAACCTTATTTCTTCAGGACTGGGATTAATAGATTACAATGCCTTGATACCAGGCATTAATTTTGGCACTGGGACTCCATACTCATTTCAATGGGAGGAACTTATAAAGAATAGTTTGCTACATATATGCTTTGCTTATTATTAAAAAGAGAGCTAGTCTGGTGTTGTGGTTAAGGCATCCGGCTAGAAACTGGGAGACTGTGGGTTCTTGTCCTGTGCAGCAGAAATTCTTACACCTCTGAGAATTAAATGTGTTCCTTCTGAAGGGTCGGTGACTTCAGGCCACTCTGTCAGCCCTAGGAAGAAGGCAAATGGCAAACCACTCTCAAAACACCTTGTCCAGTAAACTGCAGGAACTTCTCCAGGCAGTCTCCAAGAGTCAACACTGATTCAAAGGCACATTTGTGTGCATACACACAGATTAAGAATGCAGGGACTCTGATTTTAGGACAGGAAGCAGAGTTTTGTAAAGATTCAATGGATACTTCATAATCTGCTTGCTTTGACAGATACAGATAATAGGATGCAGTATATTTACGAATGGCCATGCTGGCCCCTACTATGCACTGCATTGTTTATTATATCAATGGGAAAAGAAAACAAACAAAAACATTGATTTTGTGATGGTATCTAGATTATCAATAATGTAGACTACTTATAAATGGGGATTCTATAACCCTACCATAACCCTACAATCTGCTTTCTACTCATGTTTAACATGCCATATTTTAAGTATGACATACCCTTTTCCCTCAAAAAAGAGGCTGAAAATCTGGGGAGCATTTTTTGCCTCCCAAAACCCCACCCCTTCACCAAAATGGCCATGCATAGCCTTTAGGAGGCTTATAGAGTGCTCCTGGGGGCTAGGGAGGGCAGAAATGAGTGAAAAATGGGCTGTTTTTTGCCCCCCAACCCCCAGGAGCATTATGTAAGCCTCCTAAAAGCTATGCATGCCCTTTTTTGACAAAAAACGGCCCTGTTTTCACAAAAACAGGCCGTTTTTTTTCATCCCCCCCCCCCGCAGGAGCACCTACAAGCCTCCTAAAGGCTAATCATGCCCTTTTGGGGGGGGGGAAACGGGCCCGTTTTTGTGAAAAAATGGGCCGTTTTTGGGAGGTCTGCAGAGTGCAAAAACTTTTTTTTTAATTTGCCTCTTCAAAATCTTGGTGTGCCTTATACTCCGGTGTGTCTTATACTCTGAAAAATTCGGTGACTAGTACCTGCAGCAGAAATTCTTACGCCTCTGAGAATTAAATGTGTTTCAAATGAAGAAACGTCTGCTTTGACATTTACTGTTATTTTCCCAGGTGCCTTGTTTATCTGATGACCTATATGAGCGGGTCTATGATTTCTTCAAGAAGTTGCTTACTTTGCCCAAGCCTTTCTGCACTATTGGTTTGGATTATGCTGGCCAACTGAAACTAGAACGGGCAATCCCAGGTAGGCAAACTTTATTTATTTTAGCTTGTTGTATTTGTATTAATATAATGGCTGCTTATTAACCAATACGTAAAATTCGCATCAAAGGAAAAGGGACCAGAAATTATGGCAGAATTATGATGGACTATTCTTTATACATGCAGTGATGCATGGATCTCTCCCCAAGAATACTTCATGAATAATGCAGGAAGATTGCACAATAAAAGGGTTATCTGTAAGCATATTTCATGTTTTTGTTAAGACTGTTTTAAAATTATTCAATTAGTAGCTCATGGTGGCAATTTTGAGCTTTATTCCTTTAACCAATTACTTATTAGAATCAAAATCAGGCCATGGACATTTGCATTTTGATTGTTGTATATGTGTTTATCCACTAGGGATATTATACCAAAGGAAAGTCTCTGCAGAACAAGGCCTAAAAAATGATTCATTCCCTTATCAGGATAAGTAAGTATGCCACTTCCCATGTGTCTTTTGTGCCTATAGCTATCCTAAAATTAGGACTTTGTATCATATGGTGGGACAGTGAATTGAAAAGTGTATGAAAACGATGGGTGCTCTATGGTCATCTGGCTGAAATAAGTTTTCCAAGTTGTTTATTACCAAGTTTTTAAGTATGCTTTATATGTGTGTGATGTTACATGTTTGTTGCAGAAGAACATCAGTCTGACTTCTTAAAATGCCTTTTGTTTGATTTCTATTTAAGTTAAGCTTTGTTAAATTGTAAATAGATTTATGATTTTTCTTTCAGGGTTCTTTTTCTTTATGGTGCTATCTAGTTGAAGAGCTTGTTGTTATTAAATTGGTGATAAAATGTCCACATAAAAATAAATTGTTAGAGTAAAAGATCAAGTGTCTACACCAAAATGAAACCATTAATACTGAAGGGACCATTAAAGTTACTGAATCTGGAATATTGTGGATTTAAACATGGAACTGATTGTTTATAGAGCCCTTTAGTTTCCCATGCAGACTCTTGGATTCACTGTCATACACTTTCTACAACTAATAAGTTCTGCTTATGTAATATATATTAACTCTTCATTTCCTTAGGATTTTCATGTTTGTTGATCCAGATTTGCTCTCTGGGGCTGTATGCCAAGCTTTAGTTGATGAAATCAAGGCTGCTCAAATGTTCCAGTGTACCAGGTCCTGCATGATCTATGTGATAGCACATGCCTTCCAAACAGGCCTGAAGGAACATTGTGATATGAGGAACTTGCATGAAGTATTTCAGGTATTGTGAAGAAACAAGGAAAGTTTGATTTTGCAGATTAATGATGGAATTAATGAAGTAACTAAAATCCCTTAAAATAACATTTTCACTCTGAATATTATAGATGGAGATTTTTAACTTCCTTCTTTCTTAGAGCGCTGCATCAAGATGGGATTTCATTTTCAGTTCATAAATAGATACATGTGTAGTGCTCAAGGTTGCCCAAGAAAGACAGAATTCCCTTACCTTCTTGGACATCAACTCACATAATTTTCAACAGGCTGTGAACTATTGAAGTTAAAGTCTAATACACCTGGAAGCTTTTTCCTTTTTAAAGAAAAAGAAATGTATTGGAATACATAGAAATAAAAGACTACATTTTTTCCCTTAAGGTTAAAAAAAAGTTGGAGTGGGAAATAGTAACAAAGCCAGTAATCCTACAGATAAAAGACTAATTCTTGGAAATATGCTTGTTTTCCTGCAAACATTTAGCCTAAGTAAAAGCTTTCTTGATATTTAGCCACCAATCTGATAAATATGCTGTACTATAGATTTCTCGAAGCCAAACCTCACAGTAATAAAAATGAGCTGCATTACAAAAGATTTAAATGACTGCTTTCCTGCAAACTTTTTGTGAAATAGGCATTTTTATAACTTCAAACGAACTATTTTCTGTAAGATTTTATAATAATTGAGAAAGGCAGAGAATTAGATGAGGAATGGCTTATTGATACACCTGAGAGTTTGATATCATATTGCATAAAATGTAGCAGATTTTTCATCATTGTGTACAGGGCTAAAGTATGGATTTTTCTACATTAAAAATGTTCCCAACTTTTGTTGAACAAGCCTCGATAAATAACAGAAAAGAAAATAATGAAACAGTGAATCCATTACACCTTCCAAAGCCCTGTTGACTTAAAGTGGAGATTGTTTTGGACTTTAGTTTTTCTTAATCCATCACCTCCCTTCACATTTGTGGAAAATATTGCTTTCTATTTCAGAAGGTGAAATCGAAAAATCCAGTGCTGTCCCCATTTCCAGAGATCATATGGGTTTTGAATTCAACATCTGTATAACTTTTGTCATTCTCCATACACACCATTGGTGTTTGTGTGGCATATAAACCAGTACCTTCTGGATTATTTGGGGCAGGGAGAACCAGTTTCATCAGTAACAGACCATGATAATCGCAAAATGACATGTGTGTAATAATACTATCACACAAATGCAGCAGTTATGTACTTGCATCACAATAGTTACACAACTCATGGTATTTTCATGATGTCATTACTCATGAGCCATTATTTCCCTACCCTGCATACACCCATATACAGCATGTTCTCATTAGAATAATTCATTTGGCAATTGGGAAAACCTCTTTGCCCCATTCTAAACTCATCAACCAACATATCATTTTTTTACAAATCAAAATCTTCCTGTAATTTGGAATCAGAGTTTTAAGTGCCCCTCTGAGTTTCACTACTCTGTGCTGTGATCTGAATTAAGTAGCCCTGAAAAATGATTCTCCATCCTCTGCTTAAACACATCCAAAGAGGGAAATTGGTTTATCTGTTGAACTAATTTTTCTTTTAGGAAAATTTTTATAGCATTCAATTAAGAATCTGACTTTCTCTAAGTTATATCCATATTTATCTGCCTTGTGCATGACATATGGAACAATGTGAACAATGACTAAGGATTTTTCATCCATCTTCTGTGTAATATCCTTTCAGGTATTTGAAGAATGCTATTTATGATCCTCAAGCTTTTCTTTTCAACACTAAACATATTTACCTTTATCCATAGGAATTAGTTTCTAGTCCTTTGATCATCCTAATTACACTTAGGATGGCAGGGTCTGACTAAAGCAGACGAAATGGGAATAATTATTTCCCATGATTTGTAAATTGTATTTCTAAGGATGCGGCATAACATTTCATTTGCTATTTTGGCAACTACATCACATTGCTAATTCATATTTAACTTCCAATCCACTGTTATTTAATCCCTGTCACAAATTTATTTTTCTAGTATTTCTTATATTGGATTATCCTTGCCAAACATTAAAACTAATATTATTATGAATTCCATTTAAGATTGTACATATTAATAACATTGAAAACTGATTGATTAATAATATATATTAATTCATCTTGAAATCTCTCTGCTTGTATTGAGTGATGTAATCATCAAAAATGGAGCTGTCCCTTTAAACCCCCTTCAGATTTTGTTTGAAATAGTCTTCTGTCTTTAATGCCAATAAGTACTATAAAACGTCAACATTACTTTGGAGGAAGCTCTATTAAAAATAGTGGAAATTAGTTTTGGGGAAAAAATGTAGATAGGATTTGCATTTCAACAAGCCATAATTAAAAGAAGGAGCTGTTTATTATTTAACATGAATAGACAAAGAGAAGCTTACAAAATATGCAGACATTATTAACCCTAGTAAAGAATATTTTTTATCAGCATATTATTGGTGGGGGGGGATGAAAAACCCCAGTTATCAAATTACTTCCAGAAATATGTCAGTTGTATCAGGTATTCCATGTTTGCACTTTCTTGGTGAAAAAACAATTTACCACTTAAACAAAGCTGAGTATTATGACAGTCACGGTAGATCTATATAAATGTCTGTTTATTTGAATTTCATCCTAGGAGTTTGTAAAACCTAATTACATCTTCTATCTTTTAATAGGCAAAGCCCTTAGATGAGATTGAACACTGTTTCCAAGAAGTGATGGCAGCAACCGAACATGCAGTTGAAGAAATGAATGTGGAATATAGTCAATATGTTGAGGCCCTTGAGAACATCTACAGCACATTGCTGAGTCCTTCAGAGAGAAGTAAGCGCAGCATTCTGGAACTTGGAAGAAGAAGGTCTTGGTCCCTGAGCTGTTTTTGGGAAGGAGATTTGGGAACTTGTGATACCCTCTCCTGTATGCTTTATTTCTCCCAGTATGGGCAGCAGGATGAATATATCCAATCTGTTCCTTATATGGAGCTTTACAATCCTTTTTGTTGCAGCAAAAAGCAACAATGTCAAAATCAGTCCCGTAAGAACTGTATTAGGATGTTGTTGTTTTTAAGAAAAAGAAAGCTAAAGCAGCAAAATGCCAATAACAGCTGGGTAAAAGTGGTATCAAGTGGCAACTGAGTATGCAATCCTATCCCCAAATCTGAGTTTCTCTCTCCCTCTATAAAAATGTTGCTGCTTGTAAAGTAACCACTTATCTAACATTTAATCAGATTTTGCTGTGTGGTTTTTCTACCTGAACATTATTTCAGAGAACGAAATGTGAGGTTCCATAAGCCAATGCAGAGCAACATTCCAACATTCTCCCAGATTAATTTTCACATTTCTCTGATCTCTTTTCTAAGACTTTGTCATTGTTTCTTGACTGGCCAAAACTATAACCTGAAGTGATATATAAACAGCAAGATTTTTATATTTTACAGAGGTGAACTCTTCAGTAGACAAAAGTTCGGACATCCCTTTGCCCAATCCTAAAATCAGCTTCCACCTGTGGACTGATGAAGACCAACTTTGTAAGTATCTGAACTCTGAAATGGGTTATGGAACTATAGCTAACTGGCAGAAAAGTTTGTGGTGGAGTCCACTCTAATCTCTTGTAGTGTCTTTTAGACTCAGCCACATATCATTGCATTGATATAAAGATCATGATAAAAGCCTTTATATTATCTCAATGATGGCTGGGTAATGCTAGGAAGCCTTTAAGCCACTGTGGGTGGAGAGTGTGGGTAAGCAATAACCACAACCTCACTATTTACTTTTTTTTTTAATCTTAATAAGAAGCAGGCCAACTTTAGTGGTTAAGAAAGCTTCTTAAGGGCTTAAGATGATACATGAACAAGGAAGCTCTGAATCAGGAAGTTGTTTATTTGAAGGAAGCTTTGGATGCAAATGTCTATGGAGATTCTCAGTCGTCCAGGTCAGGGTTTCCCTGAAAGTGCTTTTTTAAAGACAACTGGACTTTGTTTTTCATTGAAGATGTTTTGCTTCTCATCCAAGAAGCTTCAGAGTCAGGACTGAAGATGTTTCTTGGATGAGAACCAAAATGACTTCCAGGAAAAAACAAAGTCCAGTTGCCTTTTGAAAAGTACCTTTGGGACTTTGGATACAAATAAGCTATGTAACAGGAAAAGAAACAATGAGCAAACAAATAAATAAATGACAGATAGTATTCCACATCAATAGTTGGATCACAAAGAAAGCTTTTCTAAGAGTGGATGGTGCAGCATGAAAAGGACTGATAGATTTCTGAATGATTTCACTTCCCCCATGAGTGAGAACAGTGGTTTGGATGTGATGTGAATGCTATCCAGGAAATATATCTTATGAAAATGAATACATAGGCTTCATTCATAAAAGCAATGCATTAAAAATAGAAACATTTTAAGTGCACATTTGAAATGATTGTGAGGGGTAATCCGATTCACCATGTTTTTTATTCTGCTATATTTTTGTGTGTGCTCTTTATCATTTAATGCTGTTAAAACATGTAATCATTTGTATACAAGCAGCTCATCGTTGTTGTTTTTTTAAAAAATGAATAAATATTTGAAAACCTACCGCATTTTTAAAAGAGCAAAATTTTAAAATAAAAGCAAATATTTTAAACCCATGAATATGATTTAATTACAACTAAAGTTTGTGTTAAATGGATGTTTTTATTTGGAATACAATCACTTCTCATTAGAATTAGTACCTCATTTTCATTACCATGGCTATTCTTCAGCCCCCAGATATATTATTTACTGCAAAAACCCAGAAGATAGTGGTGTTTTTTCCCCCCAGCAGAACATTTTAAAGCTCTAGTCTTCTCAAGGAGAAAGATATTAAGGCTCTTTGTGGCAGCATGCTCATTACTTTATGTTCGGCTGTGTTACCTTCATTAACCAAAGCTTCAGCCTAAGATTTATCTTGCATAAGAAGCCATTGTATACTGGCTTCAGGTTTATGAGGGCTTTCCCCGAAATCTCACATTATCTTCTCATTTAGGGAAAGAGTTGGTGCAGTTTCTCCGTTCACCGAGTCAGTGTGGTGAACAGGATTCTCTGAGTCCAGGACTGGATGGTTTTGAATTTCAAGATCTGGTGCCAGAGTATGACTGCTGTGAACAGACGCGTTTCTCTGTGCTCTCCAATGACAGTGGGATTGAGCGGGACTTGCCCTTTCTGGCTGATGACATGCCAACTTCCTGCAATGCTGAGACTGAGCATTCTCGACTCCAGAGAAAGGGTTGCATGAAGAAAAAATATGCAGATAGCGTAGCTTTGCTTCAAAGTAATTGCAGTGGCCAAGGTGCAAAGCAGACTGGGAAACTGCACCGGAAATCTGGCGGTAGTACCATGGAACCAATAGTTAAAGTGAAAAAACTGCATACAGCTCGTGTCTTGGTGCTGGGTGATGACAGGGTATTGGGACGCCTTGCCCAAGCCTATCACTCTTTGAGGTTAGTATTGTATAATGCAGATATTTTCTCCTCGGGCGACAACCAGGTAGCAACTAGGGTACTATGTAAACCAGAGGTAGGGAACCATGGCCCCTTTATGACTTGGGGAACTCAACTACAGAATTCCTGAGCCAGCATGGGTGATTCAGGAATTCTGGGAATTGAAGTCCCCAAGTCATAAACGTAGACCATATTTCCATAGCACATCAGATATAATTTAACAGTAAGCAAAATTAAAACACTCACCCAGAGCACTTACAGTGAGTGACATGGCAAACAATGACTGCCTTTCTCTTGTTATTATTATTCTAGCTATCTTTCTATGGCTGCTAGCCAACTCTTTCTGGCTTGCTAGTCAATTTTTATAAGCTGTAACTAAAGCCTACATTGCCAGGTTGGGAATGAATTTATGACATATGAGATAGGGGAGGTTATATCTTTATTTTATTGTTTTTGTTTTCAAAATTGAACTCCTGCATATGCACAAGCAATGGAAATAACAAACTAGAAACATTTGCAGGAACAATTCCGCTTTGTAGTCTGATAATATTTTGCCAGTGGCCTCACATCAACTAACCATTAGCATCTTTGTTAACCACTAACAGGCCATGGTTTTATATTCAGGCAGTATTCAACCATAGCATACTATTTTTTGCTGCTTCACAAAAGGAAATTAGTACTATTTCCTAATTATTTAACTGCTTCTTTTCAAACCAGAGTATTTTTTTAATTAGCTCATCTAAACTGAAAGGGTAGTAAGTGGGCTTTTTCTACAACTTTACATACATACATACATACATACATACATACATACATACATACATACATGAGTCATTCCAGCAAGCTTTAAATTATGAAGTACAATAACAACAATAATAAAATGTTTTAGGTGCTGGCCTATAAACCAGGAAATACTGAGTTCTAGTCCTGCCTTAGGTAAAACGCCAGCTGGGTGACTTTGGGCCAGTCACCCTCTCTCAGCCCAGCCCACCTCACAGGATTGTTTTGGAGAGGAAATAGGTGGAAGGAAGAGTATTTGGTATGTTCACCACCTTGTGTTACTTACAAAGTAGTAAAGATAAGAGGGGGAAAACCCCAAATAAATAAATAAATCCATTTTGTATGAAAAAGATGCCTTTTATTGAGCAGAATATATGCCCTTTCAACTCCAGCAGAAGAAAAATGTGATGTGGCAACTACCCATACTTTGTTCTGAAAGATTAATGCTAGATGTTAATGTAACTTGTTATAATTCATTATAATTCATCCAACAAGTCTGAGGACATGATATTCCTCAAGTGATTAGTACTTAAAGGGAGAAAGTTTACAATGGAATTGCAGTATCTCATTATAGTGGATTAAACCTTTTAACATGCTGTAGAATGTAGTTTGTCTTGATCATTTGTCATATTATGCTAGCAGTAGAAGGCTCATAGGAAGCTTGGCAGCATGAGTGCTTGGGTTCCCCCCCCCACACACACACATTCTATAAAAAGGTGTAGGGAAGACCCAAGAAAGAAGAAGCCACAAATTGAGAAATAATGAAAGAATTTGCTTTTTTAAGAGAATGATATAGATCCATGATGGTGAACCTATGGCATGCGTGCCACAGGTGGCACATGGCGCCATATCTGAGGGCACACAAGGTGTTGCCCTATGTCAGCTCCAGCACATATGTGCACATTGGCCAGCAGATTTTCAGCCTTCCAGAGGGCAGGGGAGGCCATTTTCACCCTCCCCAGGCTTTAGGAAAGCTTCCAGAGCCTGGGAAGGGCAAAAAATGGCCCAACAGGCCTACTGAAATTCTGGAGGCTTTAGTGAGGCATGCCTGCACGGGGGGGAGGAGGGGGGTTGTGCATGCATGCACAAGGAGGAGGGCATTGCATTGTGGGTGTGGGCATGTATGTATGCCCACTATCACACGCGTGCATGCCCTTTTGGCACCCAAGCAGAAAAATATTCGTCATCACGGATATAGATTCTTAGACACCAACTTCATAACTGTCAAAAAGATAAAGTGATATCTCCTTCTGGTTAATGCTCAACACTTGATAACTTAATATACATGTTGTTTTGCCCTTTTCCAAGATACTTCCGTCTTCCCACCTTAGTCAACCTGATCTCTTTTGGTGTGTCCAATTCAAATATTTAGTCTGAACCTGCTTAGCTATTTCAAATCAGCCAAAGTTACTTAAGTATTGTCAGAGTACTATAGCACATTAATACATCTTCCAATATTTTCTCAATCAGAACACACAGACATAGACACACACGCACTGAGAGAGAGAGAGAAGGAGAGAAGGAGGGAGGGAGGGAGAGAGAGAGAGAGAGAAAAGATAATATAATGTTAGTGTTGAATTGAGAAGCCTTTGGTGCTCTCTGAACTTGGTTGTTTGGTTAGGGCTAGGGTTAAGGTTAGGTTTGTTTGGTTGCAGACATTTCATTACTTGACTAGGTAACATGGATCAGTGGTAGTGAGTGTGGGGTTTGCCATTTATATAACCACACCTTCATGTATCTCAGTGTTCAACTGTAGATTCCTTAGTGCTGCTCAAGCTTGGTTGTTAGCATGCAGACTTTTTATTACCCAACTAGGTAACATCCCCATTACTAGTTAACTGATTGTGTTATATAGTTGAGTAACAAGGAGGCAAATCACCAGCTCAGACTGTGCTTGCTAAGGACTCCAGAGAAGGAGAGATCAGTTGTTACTGAAAAAGTCTCATCAGACCTTATAAGTATAATCTTTATTGTCATTGTACTTAAATACGATGAAATTGGTTTATTATTTTTCCCCATGTCCAGGAAGCGAGAAAGCAGGCGGGTGTTTCTTACACAAAGGCTAAAAGTACATTTTTATTATGTGCCTCTTGTTGAAGAGCAACCACCCTCTTCCCTTATTGAGGTGAGTGACTTACAGCTAATAATAGAAAGGGAGGAAGTCCTCCATTTTTTTGCAATGGGACTTTGTCTGTGCAGTATTGAGTAAAACCTGCTTCTCTTTTGTCTGCCAAAACAGGGAGAGCCATGTGAGTTGGCTGCCTATCTTGGAAGAGCTGATCCGTGGTACGAGAGCAATGTTAATTCCCTCTGTTACACGATTCCAAAGCTGGCCACCATGGTAGGAGAGAAGCCCTTCCTTCTGTATGTGTAGAAATAGCTATGAGATTTTCTGACCCATTCTTGAGATAGCAGAAGAAATCAGCATCATGAAGTTGCTTCTCACCATGCCTTAATTTCTTTTTATTCTGTAAGCCACCCGGAGTCCTTCGGGATTGGGCGGCATAGAAATCAACTCAACTCAACTCAACTTAATCAGAATCTTCAGCTTGTAATAGCCAATTTAACATGAGTGCTATGTACTGTCCTGCTTTCATCCTATGTGGGTGAAAGACCACTTTCGGTGTTTGGGATCATAGCCCTACCATTAACTATAGCAATAGCAGTTAGACTTATATACCGCTTCATAGGGCTTTCAGCCCTCTCTAAG